GCGCCGTCGAGGCACCACCCGTCCGCCGCCTTCCACGGCCCCATCGTGCCGCCCGGACACACCGCTCCGGTCGGGCAAAGAGGACGGCGGTGCGACGCGGGAAGAGGGAGGCCAGCGAGGCCATGTCGCCCCGGCGTGGGCGGAATGTGGCGCTGGCGGCGGCGGCGTGGGCGGAAGCAATGTGTGTGTGGCGAGGGCGGACGGACGGAGGCGAGGGCGGCGGGTGGGCCGAACGAAGCCGATAGGAATCCTATGTATATGGGGAGCAGGGTTTTGGCTCCTGCACAGGATAGGGGGTCTGTGACTACCAGAACAAAGCCTCGAGCTCTACCACAACCACCATTTGAAAAAAAGAGGGGCGTGTTTGAGGACTTGGAGCACTTGGAGTGCTCTCGTTTGATAACTTTAGCAAGATCCGCGCTAACCGCGCGGTTGCTCGTCTGGAACAGCTACTGCGTACTCGAGTACGTAAACGAGGCGCTTCCCATACACTACAGTGTACGTTACTGAGCCCAACTGCCCAAGTGCCAACTTGCGTGCAGGGAGCGTCTCGCTGCGCCATCTTTCCCGCCGCGCTTGACTCTAGCCTTTGAGAGTGGCGGTGAGGAGATGAAAGAAGGCGGAATGAGCAGCACCGGCCACCAGTGCTCGAACCCCGTCCCCCGGTGCTCGTGCTTGGGCGCTATCTGCACACCATCTGATCTCGCTGGCTCGCTCTCCAATGGCCAGTTTGGGTGTCCACGTAATGAAGCGTACAACGCGACCCTGCTAGAACTAGAATTGGCGGCGCCCCTTGCTTGCCACGAACTGCTTCTGCCTGCGAATTCCTCGACGCTGTTCTCGGGGACGAGCGTGATGCGCCAAGTCAGTGCAAATGTTATCGCTGCCAATCGCCACCGCCTGATCAAGGTGGAGTCATGTGAGGCTGACGCTTCTGACGCAATGCGGATGGTCTCGTGCATCATCGACAACGAGACGCCCTGCGGATCATCGCCAAATTCAATCAGGCGCTGGACATTTGCAGACGAATCGACATTAGTCACCATCGACAACCACTGGCTGCAGTCTTCGTTGCACACCGCTCCGCTGCGACGGTTCCTGCTGCAGCACACATTCGACTTCGCCGTGATCGTTGCCCCGCATAAAGACTCGTTCTGGGATTCTTTCCGCGTCAAGTCTCATGACCCAGCTGAGGTACGCGCTGTCCTGAAGGGGGAAGTTCCAAAGCCATCGTGGTGGATCGACTTATCTGCTAAAGCGAGCACCAACCTGACGCAACTCTGCTCAGTGTACGGTGATGCTGCAACGCATTTGGTGCGCATTGCTGGATGGCGAATCGCCGAGACTGGCTGCAATCCAGCCCATCGGGGGGATGGGCTGGAAGCAGATGATGCCAATTTATTGGCCCCAAATGACCCAGGCTTGTGTGCTACTGCGGACTGCGGCACAGGCGGTGCCAACTCCCATCTGTGCAATCCTGGCGTGCCAACATGGTTTGCTGTTCATCTCTCACGCTTGAGGTGCCTGCTGGCTGGCAGTCGTGGATGCAATATTTCGCCGGAGCACTTCAGCTCCCGTGGCGAATCCCGCTTCCGCGGCAAATCCGGCTTCAAGAGGCTGCCTACCTACGTGCTTGAGCGCGCTGGCCTCTGGGCGCCCATTCCGCGATAATTCCGCGACCCCGCCCTAGAGACGATCGTGTAGCGCCCACCATAGTTAGCATCATGTCTGTGTGACTTATCAATGTGCGTGTTGCGTTGGGTAAGACAAGTGGTTTTGCATAGCACACCCAGAAGGTACTCTCTCTCTCTCTCTCTCTCTCTCTCTCTCTCTCTCTCTCTCTCTCTCTCTCTCTCTCTCTCGCTCTCTCTCTCTCTCTCTCTCTCTCTCTCTCTCGCTCTCTCTCTCTCTCTCTCTCTCTCTCTCTCTCTCTCTCTCTCTCTCTCTCTCTCTCTCTCTCTCTCTCTCTCTCTCTCTCTGGATGATCAAGATGGAACCGAAAAGCGAAATTCGATTCCGAAATGGCATAGGCCATAGCAAACCGCGAAACGGAAAACACGGAGAATCGAAAACCCAAAAATAAGTTTTCCAAAGTTTTGTTTTTGCACATAAAAGTAAAAAGACAGCTGCTCTTAATCTCTATTTCACATGATATCCATATGCTTTTCGTTCAAAAAATGCTGAGTGTGCAATGACCAATGAGCAATGTGAACACCGCACACAGAGTCACCACACAAGAAACACCGCGTCTCAGCTCCAACACCACTCCACGCCCGCGTCCACCTCCCGGCCCTCGTCGCTTGCGCGGCGCGCAGCCAAGTTGCGTGCAAAGGCGGGGACGATCAGGGTCGTGAGCAGCTCGACCGCCCACCGGCCGTAACGCTGCGGGCGCACGCACACCCTCCAGACCATCCTCGTGCACGCACCGCCGCCGGCGTCTTCGCACGGCGCAAAGGCGACCTCGCCGCGGTGCGTGTGGGCCGGATAGCAGGTGCGCCAGGCGGGGTTCAATACCGTGTACTCGAGGGCCGTCCTCTCCACACGAGTCACCCTCTCGCGCAGCCCCGGAGGGAGGATGAGCCGCTCGTAGCCCGCCCTGCTCTCGTCGCCTCTGCTCACGACCACAGGCGGCGGCATCGGCACGCCTAGGTCGCCGTCGTCGAGGCACTGCAGCCACGCGCCGACCGCCGCCTCCGGCGAGCCGACAAGGCGCGCTGAGAGCGTGAACTCTCTCTCCGGCTGGACGAAGGAGGCGAGGTTCGAGGAGACCTCCCCGACGCTCGTTCGCGTGAAGGCCGCCCAAAAGTCGCGCCGCGCACGCGTCTCGAACTCAACCTCCCAGACCATCTCTGTGCCGTCGCGGCGAGGCGAGAAGGACACGACCGCAGAGTGCGAACCGGGAACCACGTCCGCGAGCGCGGGCCCTGCATCCGTTACGGAGTAGCCGATCTCAGACTCGGCCTGTGTGGCCACGAGGCGCTCCTTGAGAAACACCGGTAGCAGCGTGCGCGATTGGCCGCCGTCCTCGAGCAGCGTCGCCGTGCCGGGCAAGCCGCCGCCGCGAGCCCACGCATAGTCAAGCCACGCGGCGCGTGCGTCAGCTGGCGGCACGGCGAGCTGCGTGGCGACGCGTACCTCGACACTGCCTGCGGACGTGCGGGCAAAGAGCAGACCGAGAAGGGGCCAGTCGCGGGACAGGAGCATGGAGGTGTCGACACAGCGCGCAAACCAGTGTCAGGTTCTGGCTCCAGTGCCAGTGCGCGCCAGTCCCGTGGGGCCCCAGTGTTGTCTGTGGCACACACAGGACCAGCGCTCGAGAGGCCGGTCAAAAATCCAGACGACCTCGATACTCGAGTACCCGGTACAAATCACGTCCGCGGAAGACCAAACAAGCACAAGTACTGCGGCTGCCTCGGTGCCTCGTGCGCCGGCGACTTGTGGCTCTTTAGTTTGCTTCATGGCTGGGACTGCTTTTCGTGCAAGCCCCGCAGAGGTGCGGGCGAGAGGGCGGCCCGAGCCCGAAAGGGCCCGCCCTCGACCTTGCTCTACATGGTAACGGATAAGAAGAGAAACTATGGACCGGGACACGCTGTGGTTCAGACGTCCCCCCCCTCGACGCAGTCGAGTGACTCACATGAATAGGGAGGGTCCCGTACCATGCGGAATCGACCCTATCCAGTGCTCAAGTGCTCAAGGAGAAAGTGTCCCCCACATATCACCACAGACGCAGCACAGGGGCTCCAATCCTGTCCCAGCCTGGGGGCCTCGGCTAGATCTCCAGTGGGGAGTGCGAGGGCTGGATCGACTGCAGCGAGAGTGTGGGTTGTGGACCGTCGGGATAGCGTGTGGCGTAGATGTTCCCCTGGAAGTAGAGAGGCTGATGTCTCTCGCCCTGCAGGAAGGAGAAACTCGGACGTAAGAGTGAAAACTCCTCCCTGCGGCATGTGCGCAGAACGGGTTGCGCAATGTGCGGCATCGTGTTGAGGGCTCGGGAGGGCAACGACGGCAGCGTTGCCGAGCTTGTACAGGGGCCTCAATCCTGTCCCCGATGGGGTGCGCCTCTCGCCGCGCGCGTACGGTAGCAGTCGGCGCGCGGGTAGCCTCAGAGATGCGCAGAGCGAGATGCGGGTATCAGCAAACCAAGCCCTGGGCTTGGATGGGCGCGGCGAAGCCGCGGCGCAGTGGATAGCGTGAAGAACTCGAGATCGCTGGGATCTTGAGCCGCCGCTGCCACGTGCAAGCCCCGCAGAGGTGCGGGCGAGAGGGCGGCCCGAGCCCGAAAGGGCCCGCCCTCGACCTTGCTCTACATGGTAACGGATAAGAAGAGAAACTATGGACCGGGACACGCTGTGGTTCAGACGTCCCCCCCCTCGACGCAGTCGAGTGACTCACATGAATAGGGAGGGTCCCGTACCATGCGGAATCGACCCTATCCAGTGCTCAAGTGCTCAAGGAGAAAGTGTCCCCCACATATCACCACAGACGCAGCACAGGGGCTCCAATCCTGTCCCAGCCTGGGGGCCTCGGCTAGATCTCCAGTGGGGAGTGCGAGGGCTGGATCGACTGCAGCGAGAGTGTGGGTTGTGGACCGTCGGGATAGCGTGTGGCGTAGATGTTCCCCTGGAAGTAGAGAGGCTGATGTCTCTCGCCCTGCAGGAAGGAGAAACTCGGACGTAAGAGTGAAAACTCCTCCCTGCGGCATGTGCGCAGAACGGGTTGCGCAATGTGCGGCATCGTGTTGAGGGCTCGGGAGGGCAACGACGGCAGCGTTGCCGAGCTTGTACAGGGGCCTCAATCCTGTCCCCGATGGGGTGCGCCTCTCGCCGCGCGCGTACGGTAGCAGTCGGCGCGCGGGTAGCCTCAGAGATGCGCAGAGCGAGATGCGGGTATCAGCAAACCAAGCCCTGGGCTTGGATGGGCGCGGCGAAGCCGCGGCGCAGTGGATAGCGTGAAGAACTCGAGATCGCTGGGATCTTGAGCCGCCGCTGCCACGTGCAAGCCCCGCAGAGGTGCGGGCGAGAGGGCGGCCCGAGCCCGAAAGGGCCCGCCCTCGACCTTGCTCTACATGGTAACGGATAAGAAGAGAAACTATGGACCGGGACACGCTGTGGTTCAGACGCTTTTAACTGTGCCTACAGCGTGTACTCCTACACTACTGCGGACTGGCTACTTTGTTCGGCCACTTGTTCCTTTCGTTGTTTCCGACGTGTACATAAACACATCGAGGTTCACGTGGGTCGTCACTGCTCCGAGTAGTCAGAGCGGCGTCGCATTTAGTGATATACGCCGCTCACGCCATTTAGAGCGGTGTCAGCTTAAAGCAATCGCTGCTCTGACTAGCTAGAGCAGTGTTCACTTAGCAAAGTCCCGCTCTGAAGAGGAGGAGCGAAGGAGAGCGCGACTGAGGGAGGCGAAAGCAGCCTCTCCGCGGAAATTGACCGCTCCCGCTATGTTGAGCGGTGTTGCACTGACTTGACTCCGCTCGAACGTGTTTGGTCGGTGTTTTTCTGAGCAAGAGTCCGCTCTGAAGGTTGCAGAGCGGAGTCTTGTTAGGCAAACGCTGCTCTGTGTTGTGTAGAGTGGGGTTTAAGCTTGAAGAACGCTGCTCTAGCACCATCGAGCGGGGTTACTGAGATAGAACACGGCTCTGAGATGTGAGAGTGGCGTTGCGCGTTTTGCTTTTGGCCCTCAGCCCTCACTGTTAGCAGCAGGAAAGAGGGGGGCGTACCCTCCAGCCTAGCCCGCACCCCTCGAGGCAGCAGACCTCGAGCGAGTGCCGCGAGGGCGGGGCGGCCTCGAGGCTGGCCCCCGCGCTGCCCCCCGCGGCGGAGGGGCCAGCGCCAGCGCTGCTGCTGCTCGCTGCGCTGATGCGCACGGCTCCGTTGGACGACCGCACCACTGCCGTCGCGGCCGGGGGGGGAGGCGCTGTGATGCTGCACATGAAGAGGAGCGGCCTGGCCTCCCCGGCGGCGAGCGCCTCGGCCTCGACGGAGCAGCTGAGGCACGCCATGCACGCTTCAGGCCAGCCGGAGCGGAGAGCGAAAGCCCAGGAAAGCTGAGGCAGAAAATCAGTTACTTAGTCGCGAGTAGCCGCAAAAGAGAAACGGTGGCCAATAACTTTCGGCTCGGCCGGCCCCACGCGTGGAAGCGCCCACCCTACATGTACCTTTCATACTTCCCCAAAGAGAAACCGTGCCCAAAAATGCTAAATCCGCTAAAATGTGTGCTCCGTCGGACGGATATAACCACCCTACGTTCCTACTTGGCCAGTTTCTGCCCACTTGAGCAGGCTGCTGATCGCCTTCAGCTTATTGCACGGCAAACCAAGCCCTGATCGTCTTGGCAGACCCAGACCCCGCGGCTGATCGCCTTCGCAGGAGCCGGCCAGGAGCAGGAGCCATATCTTCCGGCGAGGGCGTTGTTTGTCAGGGCCAGGCAGGCCCACCAGCAGGCCGCCGCAAGCCTCAGCGCGCGCGCAGCGGGCCGCGTTCGCAATGCCGGCGCGGCGCCGCACGGGCTGGAGCGCTACGCATCACACCAGGCGTTACACCAATCCTCGCTACCCAACGCGGCCAAAGGATATCCACCTCGAGAGAACCTCGAGAGCGACTCAACTCGCCGACGTCGTCCGATGATGGTGCCTCAAAGTCAGCCTTCGGAGGCTATCGTGGGGTCGAGCCGGCAGTAGCCGTGACATGTGGTTCCACCACCCCTCGTAGGCTTTGCCTCTGACCGCCACCGTTCCCAGGCTGCCTAATGGGATGGAAAGGAAGGCTCGGCGAGCGTATAGAAGCGTGCTCGACCTCGTCGTGGCAACCTGTACGGCAGCGCTGGTAGGCGCGATGAGCGTCGTGCCACCTGACCCGAGACGGGTCGCAGGCGTCGTACCGAGCGCGTCGAGACCGTGTCCTGATGTGATCTGCACGGGTGAGTCACGTCGGCGTCAAAGGAGCGACGTGCGACCTATCCGAGCTTGATCTCCGATCTCAGCGACGTCGAGTCGTCTCCGGCGCGCAACAAATGTACCTCCCCAGGACGCGCAGAGGCAGACTGCGACCCACCAAAGGTACATTAGTGCCCAAATGGTCAAAATCAAGGTTTTGTAACGCGAGCTGTGCCACAGTGAAATGGAACTAGCCTTTACTGCAAGTACAGCTTCTTCGATCCCATCTTCCAAAGGTCCACTACATCCGATCGGACCCGGGACCGACAGTGCCGACACGTGAGAAGCGAGAGACATGACAAGCATGAAGCAAGACACAGCACGCACACCACGCGGACTACGGACTCTCTGACAGATCGGGCACATATGTTCCCGCCAGCCATGAGGCCGTGTCCAATAGCACATGCACACATGCACATGCATCGCGGCGCGGGATCCTGCCTCGTTCGTTGTCGTGCCACGACGCACGACGCATGCCAACGGTCCGCGCGCTCGACTCGACGGCGGGCAAGCTCGATCCCTCAGGCTCGACCCTAGTCTTGGCCTAACGTGGCGTTTGGGCTCTTCATGTCGAGCACGTCTGGGATGGCGATGCCCGGGTGGGGATCCGTCTTCTTCATATGCAGCAGCGATACCGTGCTGGGCTTCATACCATCCGGGTCACCAGTCGAGCGCCACAGCTTCAGCCGCTCGCCCCGCTCGCTAAAGCGGCCTCGGATGTTCATCAGGTTCGCATCTCCTGCATCTGGCGGTGGGCAACGGGGTGGTGGCGTGCGGCATTGGCCGGGACTGCTACATGTACATGGATCACGGGCCAGCGACACGGGCAATCAATGGCGTACGCACACTGCATGTTGGCCAGGAACTCTCCGGTCTCGATGTCCACAACGCCGTGAAAGTTTCGGCAGACCATGTCCGTCCCGTAGAGGCGCTCCGTGGTTTTTGGGTTGGCCCAGCAGTGCGAACCTCGGATGAAGCCATTGTGGGCGATGGCATGAACGATGTCCTCGCGGCCGTCAATAGCAACGCCGCTCGAGGCGCCCTCTCTGTCAGTCGCGCCGGAGAAGGTGCATGAGTTCAGCGAGGCGTGCGCGTCCCAGCGACCAGAAAGGTCAGCATTCGACATATCGGGCGCTGACGCAAACGCTGTTGAAGCGATCACGGAGAACAGCATGGGGCGCGGTGATTTCCGGTGCGCGGCGATGCGCAGGCGCAACACGATCCCGTGCAAGGGAGGGCGCCTGGGTCTAAATTTAGTGCG